TTTAAAAGCAAAACAATCGCATAACACCTGTCTCTTATACACATCTAGATGTGTATAAGAGACAGATCTAGGCCTTCCTTTTTTCATTGATGTATATACTATATCATGTTTTTTGTAAAAACTATTACCCTAAACTGTACATGCGTTTTATTGCAAGATGTGTCTGCCACGATGTTTACAAGTGCCCTCGAAATGTTTTATCTTGTTATAGCCATGTATTGTGCGTAGGCCTGGTAATCAGTTTGTTTAATAGAGTCACAATTGTTGTGTTATGGGCTGCAGTATACATGGGACAGAATATAATTGTTTTCATATCAATTGTTGTAGGTAACTGTTTAGGAGAAGATGGTATTGAAGAGGTGAGAGGAACATTGGAAGCCTCAGGACAACTGGAGTTCTTAGGCTCCCTCAGGTACGTCATGATATATCACTACATATTCACTGATTTAGTCAGGTCTTGCGCTCATTCAGGTTTTTTATACCAGGCATAGTTTCTAGTAAATCAGGTTAAGAAGAATCCAAATATCCACTTTTTCTTCTATTCTATTTCCATAATCAAATTTGTTAATACTGTTTCCATGTGTGATCTGTCCATAAAAAGAACTTTTTGTTTATTAGGTATTATTTGATTGGCATTCTTCAATATGGAATGTACATTTCCTTTGGGAGATATTAAAGTAGTTGCAGCCTGATACATGTGCTGTGGTATCATATAATTTAACTTGATGGACTGCACTGTAATTTTTTTTCTATCATTTTACTCTTACTACCTTTGGTTTTGTTGAGGGCAGCTTAGCTCAGTCAGCTAATCTGGTGGTAGCCACTGTTTGTCCGCTGAACTGGGGAGATTTCTAGGTCCCCGGTTCAATTCCCATCGCTGCCTGTTCTTGTGTTTCAGCTGCATGGTCCTGTGTGCATTTATGGCTTATGTGCACATTAAAGAATGCAATACACTCTTTAGAACAGAGTAGGGGATAGTTTCCCGTTTGTACAGTAGCATCTCCCAATAACAAACCTCCCATTTAAAAACTCTCAATTTTATGAACTCAATTTACAGCAATGACATCATTACGAATGATCGTTTTTATCTACACAAACATTTAAAATTGTATTTAAATGTCTTCAACAATAATATAAAATGTTACCTCAGCTAAGGCGAGGCTTCTTTAATACCTTGTTTAGTGAACCCATTGACTGAATATATTAATAATTTCGAATTAAAATAGAATTTTATTTTTGGCCAATTAGCACAACCTCTACCACGAAAAAGTGGAAATTTCAGAAAAAAAAAAGTTTCTTTATTTTTATTTTGACCTCAGCTGCCTTGAAATCTTCCGAAGATAAGATATGTATATTTCTTCCTAATTATATAAATTTGAAGAATTTAAACATCCCATTTTACATTCACCAATAAAATTTTATTTTTATTTTCTCCTCTGTCTGGATGTTTTTGGCAAAACTATTTGCTAAATAAGAAAACAAAATTTTATTTTTATTTCGCCCTCCTCCGATGATCTTTAAAAAAATGAGTAAACGAAACAAGAGATAAAAAAGATCTCGCCTAAAAAGAAAACATTTAAACCAATAAAGCGACAAAACTAAGTTAAAAGCCAGAAATATGAATTGTTTTCAGCCAAGATATATTATATTTGAGCTGTGCATGCTTGTTCAGGCATACTATACAGTCATTTCTCACTTTTTGTAATGGGGCGCTATTCGCATGGATTCGCGATATTTATGAAGAGAATAATAACTCGTTTTGGCATTATATGGTCATGCTTTTATTTGTAAATCAGGCTGGTTGAAGCCAATTTGTTACCACAATTACATTTACTCAATAAATGATTACTATTTCTTTGATCAGTGATGATGAAGGGGATGAAGACGATGACGACGATGATGATGATTATGAAGATGTAGATGATGATGAGGATGATGATGAGGATGATGAAGAAGAGAAAGCGGTGGATGTAGAGGAAGGTACAAGAATGAAAGATCCAGCACTGGTGGTTACAGGAACAGCAATTACACACAAGCCAGATGCTGGTAAAAATCAGGTATGTGAACTTAAGTACTATTATCCACAAATCAGTAACAATTAATTGGATGCAGTTGAATCATCTACAGTATGCTATCATGTATTCTATTTTTCTTGATAACATATTTAGTATAAAATCTTAAAGTTCAAGAACAATGTTTTGGCAATAACTTTAATTTTCAATAAGGAGCCCAAAATATGATGATCAAGCTTTAATATATTAATTTGATTCCTTAATCATGCATTATAGTCCACTAGTCCACTAGTTACCATTTAATGGTTTTATCACCCAAAATTCTTGTAAGTTATGGTTATACCTAGCTTGCTTACTACCTTAAAAATAAACTATTCTGGCTGACCAATCATAAGTTCCAAATGACACTTTGCATGGGCAACACAAATTGAGTTCCTGATCTTATTGATATTCACTATATATGGTCAACACAAATTGTCTTCTTGACCTTATTGCCATTTACCATATAAGGTCAACACAAATAGTAATATATTGGCAACACAAATTGTGTTCCTGACCTAAATGATATTCACCATATATGGTCAACACAAATTGTCTTCTTGACCTTATTGCGATTTACCATATAACGTCAACACAAATAGTAATATATTGGCAACACAAATTGTGTTCCTGATCTTATTGATATTCACCATATACTGTATGGTCAACATTGTCTTCTTGACCTTATTGCCATTTACCATATAAGGTCAACACAAATAGTAATATATCGGCAACACAAATTGTGTTCCTGACCTTATTGATATTTACCATAGTTTTATTTCTCAATCAGTCAATATTGAAAGTGATCAAATACCTCAACACCTTTATACTTCTGTTTGCTATCATTATGCGTGTGGAGTGGGAGGGGATGGAGGACATACCTAATCTAAGACTGTGTGTGGGGAACTGTGGACCTGTGCGGGGAAACTGTGGACATAAAACATTCAAGTGCCTAAATGAATTCCTTGCATCATTTTTTCAGTGGCAATTGTTTCTGACATTTCTGTGGACACAGACTTTAAAAGACATTAACTTTGGGAAAAGAAATGAGTTTTCTTTGTAATTTCCTGATCTGCTAATACACACAACAGTTCTTTGAATTTAAAATAAAAGTTGTTTTTTTTTTTTTTTTTTTAATATTTCAGAATGATGATTTGACAGAAACAATGGCCAATCTGAAATTATGACCCCAAGTGCACTTGACTCAGACCAAACTACACCCAAACTACACATTTTAAAATGACTTATAGAGATGTCTCTTTTGCTGATGATCTAAATGCTATACTTAAAATTTTTATTATTACATAAAAATATATTGTCTTGCTCATGAGACTAATTGTAGCACAATAGCAAACTATCAAACCTATTTTTTAGGCAAAATCTGAATATATAGTAGAATGAGTTAACACCAATTATGACTAGAGCATCTATTATAAACTAAACTTTATTTTAGAAACTTTTATCATTCCACTTTTTTATTCACTTCAATCTTATTATTTTATGTTTTAAAAGTGTATGCTAATTATTATGCCAAATATTTTCATGTCCAAGTTGTTCTTAATTTATCCTTTTTATTTTATCATGAACACCCAGGCATGCCACACTCAGCCTATTGCTTGAATATAGCTTGTGTTTTGTGTTTTATTTACAACACAAATACCAATTTCCCAAATAAATTTTCCAGTTGTAATTTTACCAAAAATATATATT